TTTTTTTGTTTTCGTTGTCTTTTTTCCTTTTTTTCTTATTCTTTTTTTCAATTTTCAATTTTTTTTGGTTTTTTGTTCTTTTCTTTTTTGTTATCGATTTTTGTGCTTTTTTGTGTTTTCTTTTTTGGTGGATTTTTACGATTTTTTTTTGCTTTTTACATTTTTTTGTGGGTTTTATTGTTTTACTTTTAATTTTTTTATTCTCTTTTTTTTTTTTTTTTGCTTTTTAATGTTTTTTTTTTATGGTTTTCTGTTTATTTTTTTATTTTTTTATTATTGGTTTTTCTTTTTTCATTTTTTGTTTTTGAAGTTTTTTTGTCGATATTTTTGGCTTTTTTGTTTTCAATTTCCTTTTTTTATTTCTTTCTTTTCGACTTTCAATTTTTTTTGTTTTATTTGTTTTCCTTTTTTTCGTTTTTAAGTTATTTTTTTGTGTTTTTTGTTTTTTCTTCTTTTTCTATTTATTTTTTTATTTTCTGTTTTTTTAATGTTTTTTCCTGAATTTGTTTTCTCATTTTTTTTTGTTTGTTTTTAATGTTTCAGCATTTTTCTTTCTTTTTTTTTTGATTTTCTTTTTTTTTTTTTTGGTTTTGATTTTTTTTCATTCGTCGAATTTTTTTCTTTCTTTCTTTTGTTTCTTTTTTTTTTTAGGTTTTTTTCATTTGGGTTTTTCTTATTTTTTTATTTTTTTCACTTTTTATTTCAAAATTTTGCATTTTAGCTTTTTGTTTTTTATTTTATTTTTTTTTGTTGATTTTTTGTCCTTTTTATTTTCGTTTTTTCTGTTTTTTTGTTTTTGTTGTTTTTTTTTCTTTTTTTCTTATTATTTTTTCATTTTTCAATTTTTTTTGTTTTTTGTTCTTTTCTTTTTTGTTATCGATTTTTGAGCTTTTTTTTTGTGTTTTCTTTTTCGGTTGATTTTTACAATTTGTTTTTTGCTTTTTACATTTTTTTGTGGGTTTTATTGTTTTATTTTTAAATTTTTTATTCTCTTTTTTTTTTTTTAATGTTTCAGCATTTTTCTTTTGGGTTTTTTAGGATTTTTGTGTTTTTTGTTTTTCGAATTTTTTTCATTCTTTATTTTGTTTCATTTTTTGGTTTTTTTTCTTGCTTTTTGTTTTTTACGTTTTTTTTTTTCATTTGGGTTTTTCTTATTTTTTATTTTTTTTATTTTTTGTCCTTTCTATTTTCGTTTTTTCTGTTTTTTTCGTTGGTTTTTTTCTTTTTTCTTTATTATTTTTTTCATTTTTCAATTTTTTTGTTTTTTGTTCTTTTCTTTTTTGTTATCGTTTTCTGAGCTTTTTTTGTGTTTTCTTTTTTGGTTTATTTTTGCGATTTGTTTTTTGCTTTTTACATTTTTGTGTGGGTTTTACTGTTTTATATTTAATTTTTTTATTGTCTTTTTTTCTTTTATATGTTTTTGTTTTTTTTTGTTTTTGTATGGTTTTCTGTTTATTTTTTTTTTCACTATTGTTTTTTCATTTTTCATTTTTTTTTTTTGTTTTCAGGTTTTCCGGCCTGTTTTTGCTAATTTTTCGTTTTAAATTTTTTAGTTTTCTTTTTTTTCTCTTTTTTTCTTTTTTGCTCTTTTCGTTTTTTTTTCTTTATGAATTTTTTTGTTTTTGGTTTTTGTTTTTTCATTTTTTTCTTTTTTATTCCCTTTTTTGTTTTCTGTTTTTTTTTTTTTTTTGGATTTTCTGGTTTTTTTTTTTTGTTTTGTTTATGCTTTTTTTGTTGGGCATTTTGCTGTTTGATTTTTTTGTTCTATTTTTCAGTTTTTCTTCATTTTCGTTTTTTCTTTTTCCTTATTTTTTCTCTTTTTTTTTCTTTTCTGGTTTCGGTTTTTTATTTAGTTATCATTTCTTTTCAACTTTTTACTATTTTCTTCTTTAAATTTTTTCCTTTTCGATTTTTTTTTCAACTTTTTTCTTTGTTTTGGTGTTTTCTGTTTTCTTTTGGATTTTTCCTTTTTTTTCGGTTTTTTGTATTTTATTTTTAGCCTTTTTTGGTTTTCACTGTTTTTTTTTTTGAGTTTTTCTTTTGTTTTTCATTTTTTATTTTTTAAATTTTCTTTTTTTTCAATTTTTTTATTTCTTATTTTTAAGTGTTTTATATATATATATATATATATATATATATATTATATATATATTTTTTTTTTTTTTTTTTTTTTTTTTTCATCCAAACCCAAAAACTTAAACACTAATCCTTCCACTCCAACCCCAAACCCTAAATTCAAAAACAAAATCCTTAGTCCTAAAGCCCCTAAACTCTAAACAAAAATATTAATTCATTCTAACAAATTAGTTCGTGCAAATTAATATTTGAAAGAGAAGGGTATGATTGCAAATCCCATTGCATTCGGCGTCCAATGAGACTAAGCTCACTGCAAGATTCGATGCTCAATTCTTCAAGAGGTGTGAGGTGTTGAAGACCATTGGAGTTGAGAGAGAGATTTCAGATACCAAGATAACTGATTTCAAGACGAGAAAGAAGGGAGTCATTGCAAATCCCATTGCATGCGGCCTGCGTTGATTTGCTGCAATCCCCGAAGCGAAAGTGATTGTAACTTTGAGGGAGGAATCAACTTCGGAGGAGGGAATTCCGAATGCAAACTCTCTGGAAGGGACGTCAATTTTCTGCAATCCAATAACCAAACTAGAGCAATCATAGATTGACAAAAAATGAAGGGATCCCTTTGATAAGGAGCCTCCATCAACTTCAACATGCAACTTCCCAGTAGACAATACCCATGCACTGGTGCGACTTATGAAACAATAATTGTCAAAGAAATACAAAATAAGAAGTGACATTGGGATCCATTGCATTTGAAACCACAAGTTTTGGGCATTATTACCTCCGATGTAAGGAGTAGCTGTCGGGTTTTTTTCCTTACAAAAGCTTGCTTTCTTCTCCCTAATTCCTGCTGCAGATTGTTAGAATGGATAAAACCGATTAGCATCAAAATCAACCCAAAAATAACAGTTCTTTATGCAATCGTTACAAAAGCAATTCCATAACTTCACCAAATCAACATTCTGGATATCAAGCCCACGAAATGCGACGTCTGTGGCAACATGCTTGGTCAACTTTCCCCGTCCAAAATGATTCAAAGTGCTCTCCCTTTGATGCTGAGATATACCTCCATACAATGTCTCGGAAGCTATACTGTGTGTTAATGCCGTAGAGACTTCATCACCATCTCCTTCGGTCTGACTGAAAATAATATTCTCGCCGCCCTTTGCATAGACCTAAATATAATGGCAAAGTTCTCTGTGCTTTAGGAACTATAGTTATCTCTGATTCTGAAATCGCTTGGACCAATAATGAATTATATTATCACGACAGTAATTCATAATGACCGAAACAATAATGCATTCAATAGTAAAAAAATTACTAATAATCTAAATATGTAATTGTACAAGACAAAAGCTTCCCATTTAAAGTACCAATTTCCACTCAGATAGATGAACTGTAAGTGACACATAAATGCATATAACAAGATACTATAAGGATTTTCTATATTGATGACATTCAAGTGTTCCTGCAGAATTCTATCATGGTTTTAGTTGCTTATCGTGGTAGTCCTTCCCCAAGTTAAAATTTCTAATCTTTGCTTCTTCCACATATTCTGTGACAATACTCTAAAAAATAACACATTAACAGAGTCTATTAAAGAAGTCCTTACATCATTTGAACAACACCTCGTACCACATCCACCTCACTTGTCTTTCTCGTCAAGGGAATGATTGGAGAAGCATAATGTATGTCGTAACCCAGATTTCGACACATTTCTTTGCTTTTGTTAAAACTACCATGAAAGTAAGATGCATGACGTGGTTTATGAGAGCTGGGAGGCAGAGAAAGAAGCATGAAGTGAGGCGAAGGAGAAACCTACAGGTAGAGAAGGAGATGTAGTTGGTAAAGAGATCAGAGTTATTGAACATCAAAGAGAGCTCTGCAATCAGAATTGAAAATAACAAGTAACAGAAAATTAAGATAGTGACCAAGTTGGTAATAGACCAGATTGAATAAGGACATAAGAGATATGAAGTGTTTTTTTAATGTTTAAAGAGAGGAGATAGATGGATGTTTATTTGAATTTGGAATTCAGGTGAAGAAGGTCTCGTGGGCGGGATATTTCGGCGGGATAGTTGGGACTTCGGCGGGATATTTGGGCGGGATGGTTGGGACTTGGGTTGACGTAGATGTGACGGCATGAAGTGAAGCCATGTAGTGGGGAGGGTTGTCAGAAGCAATAGAAAACGAAGATGGAAAAGTAGAGTTCACATAGCTGATCACCAGATTGAAGAAGAAGATAAGCCATGAAGTGACAAGAGGCGTGGAGTATTTTTTTTAACGTTACAAGTACGCTTTTTCGAATTTTGGAAAGCAGAGAAGAATAGCTGGGCGGAAAACTAAAACAAATTTCTATGATGAATACTTACCATGTAAACTGGACTAAATTATAAATTAGTTGTTTTATTTTTAAAAACAAATTAATTAATCCTATTTATTCTAAAAAATAATTATTTAGTCTTTTTATTTTAAAATTTTCTCATAACTCTATTTTTTAAAATAAAAAAATAAAAATGTGAAATGATTAATGAAAAATATATATATATTGTATGAAATATAAAATAATATTAAATTAAGTGGGATCAATATTGATCGATGAATTCAATAATTAATTTTTCAAATAAAGAAGACTAGTTAACTACAATAAAAAAATTATTTTATAATTTATTTATATATATTAAATAGTTGATGTTAAAATGCAAGTGAGCTAAGATAAAAATATTTGAGTATTAAAAATGACATCAATATCTAATTAACAAATATTTTATCATTCGTACGGTTCATAAAAGTCTAAATCATTCATATGGAGCATAAAAGTCTGGATCATTTATATGGATTATAAAAGTCTAAATCATGGACATATTAAATAGGAATTTTCTTTGCATGTATGGAATTCAATATTTATCTGAACAGAAAAACGGATTGATCCGATTTGAATTCTCATGGGATGATGCCTCAGGCCCTCAAGGCATATTGATCTTCAAAAGTAAAACCAAAATGAAAATCTGATCTGTCAGTTCAATAAATTTGGTGCATTTATGAAGCCCAAAAAATAAGTTGATTCCAGCTATTTTCATTCTCCTATTGGTTCAAAATCACTATGATTGTCTCGTCTTAACCACTAAATCATCTTTCATTTTACTGGATTTCAGCACAGCTTTAGAAGTTTACAAGTACCAAAGTATTGTCTACTGCAGATACGACTACCTGTCCCAATGATGAGACAGCAAAGCACTTCATTATTAATACCAGCTAGCTAGTTCGTATTCGAAATTGGAATTAACGTCTTGATTGATTGATTGTCTAGCTCGCCAGGCTACAATGAATATCTAATTAATTCCCCTCTCCATATGCCAACGAGCTTTTCTTATTTTCTATAGGAAAATTGGATAACAGTACTTAGAACCGCATTTTTCTTTTTTAATTCAATGAGTCGGCATCTTCTAAAAAACAAGATGAAATAAATCATCTAAGGGGGGATTATATATAATTTTCCTTTAAACTCCGAAATTTTCAATTATGTGACTCGACTCTTTATCAATTGGGGCCAGTCACCAGTTTGGCCAGTGGTTCGGGTGAAGGGTCCATTTCGTTAATGGCATTCCCACAAGATTGGACAGAACTTGAAATAGCAGTGGCTGTTGCGCCCTCCATTTTTCAAGGAACAGTATGTGACATAACCTTTCTTTGAACCTGTAACAATTAGTGCAATTCCTACTATGAGATTGTACACAAAATGAATTGTATGGTTTTACTTTTTTCTCTAAACTGGACTTATGTGCAAGATATTCACAATTAAGAATGAACATTCACTACATCAAAAAAGAATATTACGGGCGATTTTTTTAGCTTCTAGAGGCGGTTATAATCGCCTCTACGGATGATAGAGGCGGTTTTGAGGACCGCCTACAATGCCGTCGTCTCCATAATGTTAGGGCGAGTTTTAGCAACCGTCGGAGATTTCTTAGACGGTTTCTTGAAGCGGTTGAAACCGTCTCAAAATTTTTTCTTTGAGGCGGTTTAAAGCGCCTCTATGGTAACCATATTATCATCGGATTTTTTTAGCACGTAATTTTTGGGGTGGTTTAGAACCATCTCTACGTTTCGGAAGTTTGCAAATTTATAAAGGCGGTTTTAAACCGCCTCAAACTATAAAATTCATAATTTGTAGAGACGGTTGTAACCACCTCTACGTTCCATGTTTTATAATTAGTGCGGAATAAATGAATTTTGTTCCAAATTTATATGGATTTTATAATTTATCCTTCGAATTCAATTTTTTTTTATCAAAAAACAAATAAATGGAAAAAAAGTTAATCTTGTTGAATGCAAATACAAGAAAAATTATATAACTTACACGATATTCTTAAATTTGTAATCATTAAATTTCAAATACATAAAAGTCGTCAAACATTCACATATAAAAATAATAATAATAATAAAACTAAAGGATTAAACACTTGTTCGAAATACATGGTGACATTCCACTTCAAAACTATGCTTGGACAATACTGCTTGTAATAGATATAAGGAAAAGTCGTGACGGACTTCGGGGAAAATGTTGACATTTCCGGAGAGGTTCCCACACTACTTATCTTCGATATTCAACTTTCGAGTCGATAAGGACCTTACTCTTATCTCTTGCTTTGCTAATGAGGGTACCTGGAGCCTTAGGGGTATACGAATTCTTAATTCGATTGGAATATCTCCCTCTCTAGTTGTGGATGTGGAACACCGCCAATGAGTTGTAAATTGACACATATCCTTACGGGAAAGATATAAAAACAATTCTTGAACATTTTAAAGTTCTCGATTTAATCAAACATTCTTTTTCACCAATATTGTATTTCAATTTTTAATAAAGATTATGTATATCTCACTTCATGAAAAGTGTGGTTAGATCCGAGTTACACCTAAGAAGCAAGACATCATATGCACGTCCATCACAACAAGTTTCGGGATCCGAGCGGTACTTATATAATCCATGAACTAACACTAAATACATGTGTGTGTGGAACAACAAAATGTACGAAAAGGCACAACATATCCTTAATTTTTAAATGTTATCGGCCAATTATGGTCCCTACGAAGCCGAATCACAAGTGAGAATTTGGAAACAAACCTTCCTTTTCATATTTTTGCATGAAGTGGCGACCACTAAAAACTTGAATAAATACCTTTATGGCTACAAGTTAAACACGTTTTTCCATTGACCTATCATACCTTAATTCTTCTTCGGGTAACTCTTCATTTGTTTAAATAGGTGTTTTTTTTTATTATTATTACTTTCTCTATAGCCTTAACAACTAAGTAAAAGCAAGACATGATAAAAAAAAAAAAGCCCTTCAAACAAGAAGTCTAAAGGAACTCGGCATCCCGGTTTACTGCTAAATAGTTGTGCTAAAAAAGTAAACATCTTATAAGATGTGGTTCGACATATACTCCATTCCATATTTGGAGTTCGAAAATTAAAACGGAATAAAGTAGCAAAAATCTAACTCGAGCACCAAAGTAAGCAAGCTTGACGAGCTTCTTCAAATGTCAAGTAAGGCATAAGCTCTGCATGTGGATAAATAGTAGGATCACAGGTCAATACACCATCAATATCCTTCCACACCTGTTATAATTGGGAATTCTAACGGGATTATAAGGATGTTACGGTTCCCAATATGCAACTAATTTAACTTTTGGCATATCAAGTCCAAGAACATGCAAGTAAACACGACATATGCAAATAAGTTCTTGGAGGAACAATCTAATCGACTCGGATCTCTTGTAAGCCTAATGCTTTACCAATGGTTATTATTGTCAAATCATCGTCACCCCTACCCAAGGTAGTAATTGCACCGAGTTTTCCATCCTTACCATCGGATAAGGATATAATATTCATGAAGCCTCACTAAAAGAATCCGATTCAAATGGAATTCTAATTTATGGAATCTTGGGTTTTATATCCGAATATAATAGTTAGCAAAAAAAAAAAAAAAAAGGACGCCATTTACAATAGGAATTGCGGGATCATCAATCCGGTTGGCATGTACTTGTCACGGCAACGACGGGATAAGTTGCTTCCAAGATGTCCGCATTTGTGAAGTCATTCATTGTAATAAAGCCAATATCAAATGCATCATATTGAAAAAAGAAAAAAAAGTTGATATATATATATATATATATGTTAACTTCGAATGAGAAAAAAGGAGAGTTAAATGAAGAGTCTGTGTGATGAATTAAAAGCGGAGAAATAGTTTTTCATTAAAAATAACATCTTCTCAATCTCGGCTATTTCTTTATGTCATCATCATCCATCAATCAACATATATTATGCTACCACTTTTTTCTAATAGGTTATTTTTGCTTTAAGGTGCTTGTGAAAATGTGTCTTTGCCCCGGACTCAAAAACACTACCCAGACAAATAGAAGAACCAAAATTGACATCTATTTAAAATTAAACAAGGAAGTAAAATGGCTAGTGCGGATATTTACGTACTTGGTGTACTACGACACCAATTTTATTAAGATAAGCTACAAAGATTCTTGTAGACATGCACTCTCCAAATGAAACTAGACGACTCGTTGTTCGAGGAGTCGGTTCTTTCATCATAACTATGCCCTTAAGAAGTTGCTCCGGTTCTTATACGTGAACTGTTGGAAAAAGCGCAACCAATATACACTCGTGTTAATAAACAATTAACTCCCATTCCACTTGCACAAAATTAGAAATTTCGGTGGATTATTTTTTTCCTCTAAAAACCATTCATGTTACTTGCTGCTAATTTATGTCAAATTATATAAGAGGTCTTCATAATTAACAAGTAGGTCATGGAATCAAAAGCGAACGAAATGTTATAAATTTATTCTAAAAAAAACCTTATAAAATTAAATAACTAATAAAGCCGGAAAAGTAATGCGCTTAACCTAACAAGTCTTAGCTCATAAGTTAAAGAATGAAAAAAAGGATCTCACCAAAAATAACATAACTATCAACTCCAAGTTCCTTTACGATCTGATTGAATAAACCAAAACCACACAAACTTTAATTAGCATAGAAAGGGGAGGAAGGGGGAAAAATCGACACAAAAGAGATAAGAAAAGCTAATAAACAAACCTAAAATGCAATTCTTTTATAAAACTCGGCTCCTCGATTTCGATGGATTAGAAACACCATAACTCACGAGCTTTCTCTCCCACTCGAATACACCTTAAAAGCTTGTTAGTAGTCTTGCCCATAGCGAGAGAGGACAACAATAGGCCTTTCTTCGGGAAGCGAGAATCAAATCAACAATTTCTCTCATTTTAAATTTAGCATACTTACCATTAAAGAAGGACGAAGCGAGAGGAGAATAAAAAACAAGTAATGATTATTTTGATTACTTAAGGTAATTATAAACCATAAATCTGCAAAAAGAGTTATTTAAAATTCTTAAATCTATTTTACGGGTAAATTATACATTAGTTTTTAAAATTTCAAAAAAAAATTAATTAGTTATTCTTCTTTTAAAAATTGATTTCTTTAAGACAAAAATAAACTAATTAACTCATTTCTTAAAACCAAAGGACCTATTTATATAATTTACTCTCAAGTTTTAGGTGTTTGGCAATAACTCCATAAATTATGACACCATATTGGTGGAGGGATTAGGGTTAGCAAGACAACATTCAAGAGAGAGAATAGACGGAAGTGTCACGAGCGTGCCAACCGTCAAAAAACTTGAGAATAAAAGAAAAGCAAAAAAGAAAGAGAGAGAGAGAGAGTATGTGAGTGAGAGAAGGGAGAGGGACGTCATTACTTGCAGTTCTATGTATGTGAAGTTATGGTTTTTGAAGGCTATGAAGAGCTGAGGAAGGCGAGAGGGTATAATATTATTGGGAAGGGAAAGGGAGGAACACACGACAAGCCTTAGCTAACAAGGCGGGACCTTTCAACCTACTTACATTACTATTCACTTTACGTCTTTTCTATCAACGAGTTACATGATATATCGTAAAGCGTTCTCTTCTTTTTCAATTTTATTTTCCTCTTTCAATTTCAAAATGTTTTTAGTAAAAAAATAAATAAGCAAAACAAAACGTATGATTTCTTGTTTTTGGTTAATTATAGACCATATAATTTCATCACCACTTCGTGTGTCATTTCTCAATAAGTACGACTTTATGACATGCACACTAGTTTTAATTAATCTTAGTTTATTACGAGCTTTATCGAAGCTAATCAATAACTTTTTGAAACATATAAAAATGCATCTTTAGCTTACCTTGATGGATTTCTAGTATTTTTTAGAATTTTAATTTATTCAAATTAGTTTTTCATTTTTATTGTGTTGATAATATTATTGCATCGTCTTTTTTTTCTTTTTCTTTTTTTCTTAACACTAATAAACGATCACTTATACATATTAATTTTTTTTAAAAAACAAAACAATCCTTGAGGCATGGATTCATGTGATAAGTAACTTTATTTCACATTCAAACTAGGGTTTTATAAAAAGATGTTTTGTTTGGAAAAGAAAGTTTTCGATTTGGAATTATAATCAGCTTGGATAGAAGGGAAAAGATCTCTATATCATTATTTGAAATTAGAATCAAATGAGAATTTATGAGAAAGAAAGAGCAAACCTCAAATGTGAAAAGCTGGGTAAATAGGGTGTATATATATA